TTTAAAGCCCTTTCTGCGATGTCGCTCAGACGTCCGACTGTGGCATTTCATTTAAAGCCCTTTCTGCGATGTCGCTCAGACGTCCGACTGTGGCATTTCATTTAAAGCCCTTTCTGCGATGTCGCTCAGACGTCCGACTGTGGCATTTCTTTTAAAGCCCTTTCTGCGATGTCGCTCAGACGTCCAACCGTGGCATTTCTTTTAAAGCCCTTTATGTGGTGTCGCTAAGATGCCCGACTGTGGCATCATTTCCTTATTTTTATTTGTTCACCTTTCGAGGCGTCGCTTCAGACACCCGATCGGTCCTTATTTATGCTCTGTGGAATTTCAGGCGGACTACCGCCGTTTCCCTTTTTACTTACCCGTTATGCCAATTTTATTTATTGTGCATTAAGGAATTTATCATGTTGCATCCATGCACGCATTTGTTATATCTTACGTCTGAACTGTCTTGCGAGTACTTTCAAAGTACTCACTGGCTTGTTGATTTGGCCAGATGCTGACGAAGGCGATCTCATGGATGAAGAGTTCGATAGCGAGTCCGACACTTAGAGGAGTCCCAGTCAGTCTCGTGCGACCCTGGATTTGGTCACTGTTTTATATCCGCTTCCGCTACCAAATAAATTTATCGAGCCTCACCTCGACGTTCGATGAAATGATATTCTTAGAGTCTTGTATTTCCCTTCCCGCTGTGCTTTTCCACCACCAACCTATCCATGAGTCAGTAGTATGTCTCCACACCACTGTGTCCTGTCCGCCATTATGTATGATTATTGGCGTGCTTGTAATAATTTGGTTGAGCGACCGCAGTTCAACCCTGTAATATATTTTATGCTACTGGCTTATTGTATCAAGAAATTGTCTACCAGTGAGGAGGATTTCTCTCATACTGGACTCAAAAGACTGGTTTATCAATAAATATTTTTATTGGAAAACCGGCCGTGACAGGTTTGGCACCCCGCACGACCTGAGAAGTATCCCACTTCATGTGGCATTTGATGAATAAATAAGGTTTTTACCCCTCAAAAAAAAGTAATCTGCAGGCTTTGTCTCAAAAAAAAAGTAATCTGCAGGCTTAAGACAGAGCATGGGATGGACTCACACTATTATCTATACTTCTATATAGTGTACCAGTATGAAGTTATATAGACCGTTGGATGTTTGTAAACAAACGGCTCAGATTCAATTGCTTTAGATAGAGGACTACATGGTCACATATAGACCATAGGATAGGGCAATCTAACGGCTGAGCAGGCAGGGATTCGCGGTGGGGTTCCATTTTTGTGCTGCTAGATTGCCAGCGCGGCAGAGTACTTGCAGGCTCTCGATTCTTCTGCCGGCCACAGGAAATGTGCCGCAGGCCCTGTTGACAAAAAGAAACGCTGACCCACGGCCACAGTACTAGGCAAGGAGTACTATGCAACGCTGCCCCACAGCCGCAGACACATGCATTGCAGCCTTGCTATCGATGCTTTAGCAGACTATAATCAACAAGTAAAATAGAAGATTAATATATGTGTTGTACTAAAAAAACTTTATTACTTTCAAAGTTTAACTCTCGGGCATCAATACTCCTGTTGCCAGAAGTATTTTCTCATATTTTTATTTGTCAAAAATAACACATGTAATCTGCATATTTAGTTATTTACTAAACTGTTTTTTTTTATCAAAAATAGGGCATGTGTAAAGAAAAGAACTCTGGCATGTTTCTATTGATTTGAATTAACATTTATTGAGGTCTTCTGCTTTTTGTTTTGTACGACATGCAAATCTTGGTATCATTTTTTTGAAACCTTTTGCTATGCTAGAGAACACCCCACGGGTGCCTGAGAGCCCAAAGGCTGCTTTGACACTTAAAAAAATGACCCTCGGCCTCTCTATTTTTCTACTTTCTCTTATGAATTCATTTTACAAACATTATTGCCCAGCTTTCCCATTGTTCTCACCAATATATTTTTAGGCAAGCATATACTCGATTAGACAGATTAATCACTGTATGCATGCATGTTTGTGACCTTTACATGAAAAATATAAGTTAATAAATACTCCCTCCATTCCACAATGTAGTGCTTCCTCTATCCTCGTGCTTCAACTTTGATCGTAAATTTAACTACCAAAACCGATTGCGGCGGGAGTAAAATTATATCAGTGAATTCGTATTCGAAAGAAGTTTTTAATTATATAATTTTTTCTCCCGCCGCAGTTGGTCTCGTTGGTTAAATTTATGGTCAAAGTTGGACCTCACGAAGCACGGGCGCACTATATTTTGGAATGGAGGGAGTACTAAGAACCTGATTATATAGTAAATAAAATGCCTTCAATCCCTCTTAACGTATCATGTGACACATGTGATAAGCAATTCAAAGTATAAAAAAAGATCCTCTCAACATACAACTTGTCGCAATAATCCTTACACGTGCATGGCACGTGCCTTTAACTAGTATGTATAGTTTGCTTCTACACCACCCACCCTGCTTTTTCTTTTGAAGCCCAGAACTGTAGAACAATTGTTCTACGGCATTTTCATGCAGTAATTAAATAAAGTACATATGTGCAAATGAAGCAAAATACAAGAAAGGTTTATCCAATACCAGCCCTAGGTAACATAGAAATTGGAGTAAGAGATGATAATAAAGTTGGTACCGTGGACAAAGAATGAATGAATGATGCTGCGGATGTCGTTATACATGTAACGTAGTGTCGTCGCCATAGTTTAGAAGCCTGATGTAGGATGTACTGCTTTCTGTTTCTTTGTAGAAGAGTTGCAGTCTTGTATGCAGAAACTCAGAAACTTTAATAAGCAGGCATAGTTGGCTGGGGCAGAGTTCCCCTTCAGCTGATTTTGGATCTGGTTGTCTTGTCAATTTCAGATGAAATGAAATTGGGGGGCTGATGCTCCTTTTATCGAAATTATTAAAAAAAACAAGAAATCAGTGCCTGTTCTTGGGCGTTCCATGTGATCTTTAAAACAATTGCTTTCTTGGGCGTGCTTTCTTTTGCGGCAACGTTGGCTACCTGTAGAAGGTGTTTGTTGTTTCACCTTTAGTGCCACATTGCTAGTCTATTCAGAGTTACTTCCTGACCCAATAAATAATACTTCCAGGGTTTATTCTTTGAAATGTAACGAGAAAAGTGTAAGTGGAGCCGTTTTTTTAGCCGTTGTGTTACATTGTTGCTACACAAGAGTTATAATCAGCTAGCTAGGGCTTGAACATGGGTGGCCTCCTCACTTTGGTAGCCTGCTCGAAAGAATAGGCCATCTCGATCAGCCTCGGCTCATACCCCTGCAGCCCGCCGAAGCATATCCCGAAGGGGAACCCCTTCTCGTCGTACCCCGCCGGCACAACGATACCAGGGTGGCCGCTAATGGCGAGAAGGCTAGAAATATCGCTGTTAGGCGCAACGATCGCGTCTAATTGGTGCTCCATCATTAGCTTCTCCAGCCCATTCGTGTTCAGCTCCTTCAGGCGACGGATTGCGGCCCTCTCTACGGGCCCAATGCCGTTTGTGCTTTGGGCAGCGATAAGATCAGGCTGCCCGAAATCTTTCAGCCTCTCCTGCACCAACATGTAAATAATTTTTGTGAGAGCCTACATAAAGAATAAGCTCCATTAACTGCCGTGATGATTCTACCTATGCATGTTTCAGGTGTTTTATTGCCTCATGATCTATGCAGTAGGAATCTATAAGAAAATTTGAGAGTTTTTTTTTTTGACAGACCTAGATCTAGAGTATATTGTTTGAACAACAAGAAGTGAACCACCTGCCATTGGACACAAGCGTGGCAAATCATCTGACCCATGCATGGTAAAGCGTGGCAAATAATTAATCTAATCTCAAGAAATATGGATTGAGTTGGTTTCTTGGTGCACTTACCTCCACAGGATGGTTGTTGTTGAATGCTATGATGTCTGCTAGCGAATGGACCGGGGAGTAGACCAAGTCTGCCAAATACGCGTTTATGCTCAGTTTGAACTCTGCCTGCATGGCAATCCCCTCCTTGGAATAAATCTCAACCAATAGAGCGGTCAAATTGGCAGCGACGTCCAGCTTCTGGATCACCACTGCTCCAAGTTTCCTTTGGAAAAAGAAAAGAAAAATCAAGAATCAATTCATATATTCATCCATGGACAGCTAGTGAAATGTAAACCGTGACTACGAAGGAACCTCATTGTGGCGAGGTGCTGCTTGTACGTATTCAACTGCGTCTGGTCGTATCCTTGGAAGAAGCCATTGGGGACGCCGATCCTCTTGCCTTTTAGCCCGTTTTTCTTTAGGAACTGCGTGTACCCGCCGTGCGGGATGTACTTGGATGCCGCTCCGGTGGCCGCGGCGTCTTGCGTGTCGTAGCCGACGATGGCATCCAGCACGTGCACCGCGTCCGACACCGTCCGGCACATCGGTCTGCATTTTATTTCCATCGAGCGGCACCAAGATTTTCAGGTTGAATGAATATGAAACAAGAGCAAGAAGAAGAAGGAAGCATCGAGCGGCACCAAGATTTTCAGGTTGAATGAATATGAAACAACAGTAAGAAGAAGAAGAAGGAAGCATCGAGCGGCACCAAGATTTCCAGGTTGAATGAATATGAAACAACAGCAAGAAGAAGAAAGGAGCAGGAAGGGTTACCCCACGGTGTCCTGCAACGGAGTGATGGGGACGACGCCGGCCCGGCTGGTCAACCCCAACGTCGGCTTGATGCCGACAACCGAGTTGAACGACGACGGGCAAAGTATGGAGCCGTCGGTCTCGGTGCCGAGCGTCACGGCCGCCATGTTGGCCGCCGCGGCCACGCCGGACCCGGCGCTCGACCCGCACGGGGTAGACGACAGCACGTACGGGTTCCGCGCCTGGCCGCCGCGGGCGCTCCACCCGGCTTCGACCGGGCGGAAATTGGCCCACTCGGACAGGCTGGCCTTGCCGAGCACCAGGGCGCCCGCACGCCGGAGCCGGGCCGCCACGCCGGCGTCACGCTTCACCACGGAGCCGAGGAGAGCCAGCGAGCCCGCCGTGGTGTTGAGCGCGTCACGGGTCGCGATGTTGTCCTTGAGCAGGACGGGGACGCCGCGCAGCGAGCCGGTGGCCGTGCCGCTGCCGCGGCGGCGCTCGGCGTCGGCATGCTGGGCCTGCCGGAGCGCGTCCGGGTTGACCTCGATGACGGCGCGCAGCAGCGGGTTGAGGCGGCCGATCTGATCCAGGTAGAACCGGACGAGCGCCGTGGAGGTGAGAGTCCCGTTGCTGAACCCTAGCTGGATGGCTTCGACGGTGGCCTCGTGGAACTCGAAGCCGTGCGCGGCACCGGCGCCGGCGGCCACGAGAGCCAGGACGGCAGCGACAGCTTGCAGCTGCAGCGACGCCATGATGTTAGTTTAGCTTAGCTAAACGCCACCGGGGTTGGTGTGGCTTGGCTTGTCTGCTCTTTGCTCTCTACTCCCTCCCTCGGTCCTTTTTAGTTCGCATATAAGATTTGATTGAGGTCAAACTTCGAAAAGTTTGACCAACTTTATAGAAAAAATACCAACATTCACAATCTAAAATCAATATCAATAGATGTGTCATGACTTAAAGTTTCATATTGTATAACTTTAGCATGGCAAATGTTGATATTTTTTCATATAAATACGGTCAAACTTTGTGAAGTTTGACTTTAGAGAATTCTAATATGCAGAGTAAAAAGGACCGGAGGGGGTGCTGTTTGGTCTCTTGCACGCTCGTGCTCGTGTAGTACTTTCATGGCAGTGGTCTTTAGCCTTTTCAGATGGCTCATGATTGTGTCTAATTTACCACTCACTTTTTTTCTATCGCTGTCTAGGTCTCTAGGAGCATCTACCACCATCACCATTGGCGAATCTAAAAATAAATGAGTGTCATGCAAATATGTGTTGGACTGGGCTGCAAGTGGTTGGGCTAGACCTTGGCATTAGTATCGAAAACTAATTTTACAGTTTTGGAGAGGGGGCTTGAGCCTGTTAAAGCCCTTAATAGATTCGTCCATGTCTACAACCAGGCTAATTCGGCCCCTTGTACGCCCAGGGATGCGTCGAGGCAGTTACCGGACGTGTCCGTTTCAAAACTCTACATGTCTATGCACCCAACCACAGTCTTGAACTGTGTCCTCCGTACTTTAGACATTTCGTCGACTAGATCGCGTGTCGCACCGCTAGAGCATGTCGCACGAGCACATGAACAACGTGCGCGCAACGGCCGGATCAGCCCCGCAGTCGGGAGGGCGCGAGATCGACCACACGAACAACGTTTCGAGCAGCCCTGCAGCCACACGAACAACATGTTGGGCGGCCTTCTCACTTTGGTAACCTGCTCGAAAGCATAGGCCATCTCGATCAGTCTCGGCTCGTATCCTTGCGGCCCGCCAAAGCATATGTCAAAAGGGACGCCATGCTCATTGTACCCAGCCGACACAACAATGCTGGGGTGGCTGCCAATGGTGAGAAGGTTGGAAGCATAGTCCTCGGACGCAACGATTGGGTCCAATCGGTGCTCCTTCATCAGCTTCTCCGCCCCATTCACGAAGAGCTCCTTCAGCTGCCGGATCAAAGCTCTCTCCACATGACCAATGCCTTTGTATTTTCTGCATCATAAACTCATGTTGCCCGAAATCTTTTAGCCTCTCTGGCAAAAAATGTAAAGAATTTTTCTAAGAGAAGACATAAAGAATAAATGCAACTATTAACTAGCCTGATGACCGCTGCAATAATGTTTGGATACAGTAAAGCTGAAGATATGAAAATAGTTGCTTTTGTGTGTACTTGCCTCAGTAGGATGTACCTTGTTGAAGCTATCATGTCCGCGAGTGAATGGACTGGGAGTAGGACAAGTCCGCCAAGTACGCACTAGAGAAAAGTCTACATTGCATTCCCGAACTAACCACTCAGTTAGATTTACAACGCTTATCTTTACAACCAGTCGAATTGCACCCTCAGGACAACCATTTCTGGTTTTTTGGCATGGTCAACTGGTTTTGACTATGTCAAAGCTGACTGGCAACCCCTCCCCCAAACACACACGCCCGTGTCCCGCC